TGGAATTGAGCAGTTCATCGGCAACGATTTGGTGATTAAGGCAGGTAATGATTGAGTGGTTGGCATTATTGAAAGGAATTAGGGGCACTTGGGGCTATTGGGATAGCTTAGGTTAGGTTCAGTGGGAATCGTAGTGGAAACGGGGGTAAGGGATTATTAACAAGGGAATAAATTAGTTGGTAATTGGTTGAGGAATGGGTAAGTTTATAGAATATAGGAGGTATTGTTTGATGAAAGCGATTGAATACGATATTGAATATGATATTGAATGTGATACGATATGAAGTGTTGAAGCGATTGATGGATTCGTGAATTGAATAATATAAGCTAGCTTTGTTGAGCTAGTGATAACAAGCAATTGAAGTGATATGTGTATTTGTTATGATTTAAGTTTAGATAATCGTTAATCAAGACAGTCAGTGAGAATATCACAGGTCACTTGAAGCAGTGTTCAGTTCAGAGCTGAGATCAGATCAGAGCAGATCAGAATCTGATAACTTAAGTGATCAGATCGTATATCAGCCACTAAACGATATCAGTCAGTGAGGCAGAGATAAACCGTTATTACCACTACTACTACTTGCACCACGAGATACCTACTACCATATCTACTGTTCTTCCACTTAATCGTGAGACAGTGACAATCAAGGCGATCTGTCTAATTAGAAAGGAAGATGAAGACTGAAGAAGGAGTTGTAAGATTTTATATCAACTAAGTTGTTATATCTATCAATCATATTTAAGATCATTTATTACTGTTATCAGTTATTTATGTGATCAATGCGATTCCTCAATATTGTGGTATTATTGTCGATTATTTTCTTTTCATTACGGCTATTCCATTCGATTTGCTGGTGATTGGCCCGATTTCCCCTAAGGTGTCTCGGGAGAGAACTTGAAAGTTTCAGGGTGAACTGAACTTGAGATTCATTCTGCAGGTTTCTGGAGGAGATATGAAAACGAAAAGTTTTGGAGTTTCAACTGAAGATTTGCATATAGTGTAACCAGTTTAGTGAACACAATGAGTATTCGGGATAGGGGGGGGGGGGTTGGTAGCAGGGAATAAAAAAACATAAGATATTGTAGTTGAGCTCAAAAAATGTTCGATCCCAAAAGAGTGAAAAGTAATGAATATATTGAAGTGATCATGGGAATGGGATGAGTAAAGCAATACTTGCAGATAAGAATGAGTTGAATTGCAGGAACAACCACATCAAGATGAAGCACTGGAACCGGAGCAATTCCGAAAGATCTTCGTTGGCGGTCTCTCTTCGGATACGACCGATGAGTCGTTACGGGAATTCTACTCGAAATGGGGTGAACTGATCGATTGCATTGTCATGAAAGACCCGACCACGAAACGTACCCGTGGTTTCGGTTTCGTCAGTTACGCGAAACAATCGATGGTGAATTTCCTTTCCCAATTGATTGTTCCAAGCGATCGTCAACCCTTATTTCAGTCAATTTTACGTAATGGTAATATTCTATCCAGTGTATATCTGAAGTGTAATTGTAACTGAAGTGTGTATGTAATGTGACAGACTATGTGAGCGATTCAATGAGCGAAACTTTAGAAATAAACCAAGCGAGCAAAATGATTCGGAATAAATGATGATAAGTTCATTTTAAGAAAATGCCCATTAGCACATGTTCATCATCACCGTCAAAGAGGTTTAATTCTATTATTTGCAAAGGTTGACGAAGCAATGGCGAATCGACCACACGTAATTGATGGTAAAACGGTTGATCCGAAACGTGCCGTGCCCCGAGATCAATCGTTGAGAACTGAGGCGAATTTCTCATCGAAACGGTTGTACGTCTCGGGCATTCGTGAGGAACACACCGAGGAAATGCTACAAGAGTTTTTCTCCCAATTCGGTTCTGTTCTCAAGGTATATTGCAAATCGCTCTTTTAGTGCTTCAGATTAGATTTTGCCCTGTTCGTAGTGGTTGTTTTGTCTGCGTCTNNNNTGATGTGCGATAGTGATTGTTTCATTTCAAATTGCAGGCAGAGATCATCAACGACAAGAATACGGGTAAACCGAGAGGCTTTGCGTTCATCACTTTTGATGACTACGATCCGGTGGATAAATGCGTTCTCATCAAAAGTCATCAGATCAACAATTTCAGATGTGATGTCAAAAAAGCGTTGAGCAAAGAGGAAATGGCCAAAGTGTGTTTTTAATGAGATTATCCTGCTGCATTATATTGCTACAGTTATATAATTGACTATTGAACTATCATTAGTGAAGAGTTTCATTGATGCACTGCACTTATTTATTCACTCCTCAATCGCTAGTTATTAGGCAATGTGCTTTTTGAGTTGTCTTAACTTTTATCATTACTTCAGTGGTCATAATTTCGAATCGATCAGTTCACGTGATCAGTTTCTTTAGTGATCTTTGAAGTTATGAGATAGAACGCCAAATGAATATCCTCTCATAGCGTTAAGTTTGTTGGTTTTGTTGGATCTAGAAATTTGTGTTGGATGTAAAATTTGTGTAAAGATTCAACAACGTGATCGTGATCGAATGGATAGAATGGCTCGTTCTCGTGGTCCGATGCGGAATGGCTTCGATCGAGGCTATGGTCCTCCGCCGCCATACGGCGGTGGTTACGGAGGTGGTTGGGGTGGCGGACCATCCGGTCCATCCGGTCAACAGTGGGGTGGTGGTGCTGGCGGTCGACAGTCGTATTATGGTGCGATTTTTTTGCTGATCGCTCCTTGCAAATAGTTTTATTTGAGGAGGTGTTTAGGTTGTTTTAGTCATAATGTCTTCCATTCGAACGATGTGTACAATTGACTTCAGTTTCATTTGTTTAATTTGTTCCGTATTCATTCTCGTACAGTTTCTTGTTTTCATTTGTCAACGTCCGAGAAAGAAGTATCCTGGGATGTTTGGAAAGGAAAACGAGTATTATTGCGATACATTTCATTGTTTTTTTTCTGATAATATATATCGGATAAGGTATTAGGGTTGTAGTGGAATACTAACTACAGCTGACATTCTATGTGAAATTTACGCTAATTTATTATTATCAGTTCTCCAGGAAGGGAAATATAGAGGGTTTGTTCATTTTAGGTGGAGGAGGTTATGGGGGTGGTGGATATGGCGGAGGATATGGTTCACAAGGTAACTTTTATTTGCTTCTGCGATCTACACTACGGCTTCTGTTTTCTTTGTGATACAGTTGCTTTTGGGGTGATAAATGATGAGATTGATTCAGTGTGGCAGTCGTTAGCTTTTGTTTTGATGCAGTTTTT